TTTGTATCTCTCTCTCCATGTCCAACAAGTTAAATGTGGGAGGATGGTTAAATTTCAAAGTTTAAATAAAAATTGACCATAATTACTCCAAATATTGAAATTACTAGGAACTTAAATGTAAAAAATTATTTTGTGAACGCTACTTTGAAATTTCAAGGGATAAATTACTTAAACACACACACACACATGCATAATACGATATTTTTGTTATTACATTTTTTTTCACAAAATAATAATTTAATAAAATTGAGGACGGCCGGCAAGGAAACTTCAATGGGAAGCCATGCATGCACTGTGCAAATTAATCTGTAAACTTTATGGGCTATTAACTCTAATTATACATACAAAAATAAAATAAAAACTCTAATTAAGCAGAAGAACGCCAAGTCCTTAATTCACAACCACATGCGGAGAAAATTTTAAGACAATGACTGTTTTCTTCCTCGAATTTACCTCTAGAATTTAATAACAGAAAATGAATTTATTAAAAGAAACTTAATAAATGCTGGAAATGAAGGGAAAAATAGGGAGCATAAACCCCAGCATGAGATGGAAAATGTAGAATTCGGATTTTGAACTTAAAGTTCATCAAGAGAACAACTTGAGTACTTATGAATAGATTATTATTTTGTAACTAGACCTTGAGATACCACAAAAAAACACAAGCAGTGTTGGTTAGTACATTTTTATTGCAGCTCAAATTCTACAGATATATGTTAATACACATCCACATTTAGAGAAAATCATTAGCAAAGTGATGCCTTCTTCCTTGAAATCCCATCGAATTTGCAGCAACAATACACGGAAATAGAGTTTACAAGAAATCCATAGAGTTCATGCTTTATAAATACAAATAAAACTTCCTTGAGATACATGCAAAAAAGAGAAAGAGAGAGAGTTAATATAAAGATATAAAAAACACTTTCATATTAAGAGCAAAATGGATTCCCCCAGCAGGAGTGCACCAAGATCGGGAAGGAACGGAAACATTATTCCAAAAGGAAAGGAGCACGTTTCAACAATGATGGGGAAGAAAATGGCTGAGGCTGGGAAGAAAGACGTAGAATCGGCTGTCGGTTCTGTCAAGAAGCACAACAAGAAGGGAAACTGACGCCGGGTGGGATAGTGATTATTCTATTGGCTTATTGTAGCAGATGATTCGCAAGAAAGAAATGAAAGAAAACGCCCAAAAAACTAGAGAAAATACTCTGAAATCAACTAAATATTATTAATAAGGCAGAATGACCAAAATTAACCCACAAGCCGGGTTAAATATCTGCAAAATACGAAATTATAGGAAAATTACCACAAATGGCAAAATCCCGAAATTACACTAGAATAAAATATTAAGTAAAAGAAGTAGGTTGCCAAAAATTTAACTCAATTCAAGTTTTCTCACATATGGAAAAAGGGAAAAAAATATTACCATAAATAGCAAAAAATAACTAAAAATTGAATTTCGGAAAGGAAAACAACGGATTTTGGGCTCGAAACTGACGCATATAGCTCGATGGCCACAACGTGCGCGCCAAAGAGAGCTTTTCGGATTGGGGTCATAATAGCGATTCTGATAACCGTAACCAAAGTTATGACAAATTACCAAAGACGTGTCAAATTTCCCCAATCAAGAAAATAATTACGATTCACTTCCCACCTTTGCGCCGATCCGCCATCTCATGGTATCTCAGCGCCATCATTGTGTTATCTGACAAATCAGTATCACTCGACTCAGATCCCGCTGCATCATAAACATAAGCCCTGACAACTGGAATTCTTGATGTACGGATTGTTTGGTTCAACAACAACGATTTTTTATTGTAATTATTAGTGTAATGTAATAATTTATATAGATTGCATTTAACCATGAAATAGAAGTGTGAGTGATAATGATATGATTTGTGAGTTTATTTAACATATATAGAAAGTCATACTATGTTTACTTTTGTAGTTTCATTTGTTTGTTTTAGGTATCTTGAATACCTCAAATTTATACAATGTTATCCACTACCCATGTCATTGAGGTTGTGTTTGTTTGTTTTTATGTTTATTGAAAGTTTAGGTATGCCTTTTTATTTTGGAAAAAAGATCTCAGTACGGCATCTAACATAACGTAAGTGTAACACATACCAATAATTCAAGTACTGGTCATACCCGTAATGGTGGAGCCAAGACTCGAATCCATGAAAAAAAAAAATTCAATTATAAAATATAATAATATTAAATATAGAAAGAAAAACTTATATTTTTAAGAAATGAGCTAAATAAAAGAGTAATAACCAACAATTTGTGTGTTTGAGTGTGTGTATAACTCTCTCAATCCTACACATGTGGGATTCTGTTGTTTATTTCCTTTTTGCTTTCCTTCATCTTTCCTCATAATCATATTAAGATTTTGAGTTTCATCTTAAAATTTCAATCTTATTTATAGGAGTGGTCCATGCCTCCATATGTGTGTATTATTTTGTTTGGCATTACAAATTATTCTCTTGTCCTTACTATTTTGATTTCGACTCCAAAAAGGTCTTTGAGGGCTGGGAGCCATTATGGTTCAGTACCCTCGCTCCAAGAGACATATATTTCTGAAATGTAGCCCTAGTTTGATGTTCATTATTTGGCAAAATGAAGTTTTGAATAATGAATTATTGAGAATGTGTGGTTAAAAAGTAAGAATAATTTTGAATTTACATACAAAATATTTGATTGTGTAAATGAGCAATTTAACATAGGTAAGTAGAATAAAGGGCTCTAAAACAGTTGATGTCAAACAAGGGCCTAATTATGCATGACAAGCTTTTCGTACTCATCATATATCATTGCATGACATTCAATTAATAGTTGTATTATTAGGTGTCAGGTGAAATTTGTAATTCGTAATGTCTAAATTAGTTGTTGACAATTTTCGTATTCAAAATCATGAGTTATTTGAGTTATAATTAAAGTTGAAATATGAGTAATTGAGTTGTAATTATAGTCAAAGTAGTTTAGGGTTGATAGAGACCTAAAAGAAGTTAAAGACATTCAAGAAGATCAAGAAATGAGAATGAGACCCCACATGTTGATTGTTTGAGCACTCAAAACAACGAAGCTGCTGCTCACTTAGAACGAGCCTGGCCCTCGAGCGACGTTCATCGCTCACTTGGTGCCAGGCATAGTGATCAAACGGCTGTCAGTCCGGGAAGACCCTAAATTCGATATTAATAATAATTTTGAATTCATTTTCCCCCCCCCCCCCAAATGCTACACATTATGAATATACAATCCGTGGAACGTCCAAATGTGTTTTGAATCAATAATTTGTTATAGAGATCACATTATTCAAGATCGAAAACACCTTTTATTATTCCCTTGATTCAACCACATTGTCAATTGGTCATAAATTAGAGTATCTCTTGCCCCAATCAACATATCAAAATACAAAAAGATCTATACTCAAACACCAAAACAAAACCCTACCTTCTCCAATAAGCCTTCGGAGTTCTAAAGTTTAGAAAGATATGCTTGAAGTTCTAGCGCTACAAAACAAGGTTCCAGTGAAGAACGAGGTTCGTTCCTAGTGATCCAGCAGAGACAAAAGTGGTCCAGAGTTTTGGGAACTACAAGCGTTCACAACCAAATGAGTCCTTTGTTGATTTACAAATTAGGGGGTCGGAGTAAGGTAAAGTGTAGAGGTATCTAGATTAATTGTAAGTTAACTTTCTAGTGGATTGTTTTGACAAAGTTTTCCTGAAAGTTTTTGATCCTTGTGAAGGGCTCTTCAAGTAGTTTTCCTCCGTCATAAATTCTTGGTGTTTTTTACTTTATTGTTTTGATCTAATTGCTTAAATTGCTTGATTGATACACAGGTTTAGTTGGATTAATTAAACTTAATCATCTAGAATCATTGATAAGCGACTTGTTGCCTGCTATTTTTTTAATTCCACATTTGGGTCTAAACCATTCGACTAATTTAAACTTTGATCAGATTAATGACCTCATCTTCAAATTCATATATTTTATTATTTTCTCGACAAAAACTGTAATGAGGAGTCAATAAAATGGTATTATTTCAAGGAAGATAACATCCCATTGCTCATCAATTTCTCCAAATGTGGAAGTATAGACGATTTACGGATGTGAATTAAGGACTGGATTTGTGTCTCCCTCTCTCTCTGTGTGTCCATTGTGTTCTCTCTCCCTCCATGCACCTGTCCAACAAATTAAATGTGGGATAATGGTTACATTTCATAGTATAAAAGTTGAACTTCATGGAAATTACCAATAACTTATTTATTTAAAACAATCTTATGAACGCTAGCTATCAAAAAATTTCAACGAATAAATTAGCTGAACACGCACATGCACATAAACACACATATACATATAGTTATACAATAATTTCTTATTTCAGAAAGTAGTAATTTTAGAAGGTGGATGAAAGCCGGTAAGGAAACTTCAATATGAAGCCTGTAACTTGCTGGTTATTTACTCTAATTATGCATAAGATATAAAATAAAAACTCTAATTTACCAGACGAGGAAACAACCACAAATTCAAGTTCTTAATTCATAACCACATTAGAAAATAATAAGCAAAGGGATGTTTTCTTCCTTGAACTTACATATATAATTACTCGCTGCTTGAAATGAAGGAAAAAATACAGAATGGTTATGCCTGAACGCACGAGCAGGTCATTTTTGCAGATGAATCAATAGTTTCCTTTTGCAATTCAAACACTTTTGGAATCCAAATTGGTTGCGATTTTGACCTATTTTTTTGACTCTTATAGATACAAAACAAGGGCTATCATCAAATTTATCAAGAACAAGAGGTCAATTCATTACTTTTTGAAGAACAGATCAAGTCCTAGCAAAAATTGATGGCAAGTTACATCAAGAAGTTGAAGAACCTTATTAGTTTTTAATTTCAATTCAAGATTCATTAATTTTATGATTCTCTTAAGTTCTTGATTACCTACGTATTCATATTGCATTGTTTGGATGATTAGCCACCATTTAGGTATCATGTTACTTACATATATTGTTGGAAATGTAGAATACTACATATTTAACACACAGTTATTAGATATTAGGAATAATATTCATGGTATGTGCAATTTTGTGTGATAAATCCTGTAAATTAATGCATGTTTTTTTTACATAAATTCAAACTAGGAATATGGCCTAGTCGTGTTAAGTATTCATTTAATATTTCTTGAAAAGTCTATTAAATAAAATTGAATTATCGATTGTCATTAACACTACAAAATAATTAGTACTTTTTATAGGTCGAGAATTGGAAATAGCACTAATAGGGGATTCAAAAATCCAATACATTCATCTCATATCGATAAAATCACTTTTAATTGCTTTGTTTGTTAGAATTAGTATAAACAACAAACCCAATCTCTTTCGCGTTACGGTATGTCAAATTTGATAATAACTAATACACTATTATTAAACATTATTCCTCTTGTGATTATAACTCAACTCATCTATTCTATTACTTGTCAAATATTACATATGCTTGCACTTTTGTTTGAACACAACACGTCATGTGTTTTCGTGTGTGTAGAACTCACTCAATCCTCTGTGTGTGGGGAAGTTTTTTTTTTCTTTCTACTATTATTTCTTTTCTTCATCTTTACTTGTAAACAAACATGTTAAGACTTCAATAAGCTCAATCTCAAAAATTTTAACATTGTTAAAAGTAGTAATCCGAAACTCTATATGACAATTTATATTTTGTTTGACGTGGATTTTTTTTTTAACAAAATATTCAAAATGCTTTTGATTTCCTTGTCCTTACTAGTTTTGATTTGATTATGGGAAGATCTTTGAGGGTCGGGAGCCATTCCGTTTCAGTCCCTAGCTCCAAGACAAATATATCTCTGAAACTTATTATGTATGACGAACATTTTGTACTCATCAAATAGCCATGCGTGACAATCAAATAATACACTACAACAAAAGTGGGTTTTGACGGCATACATTTACGAAGTGCATTTGTAGCATGCCGTGAAAGAAGACTATTTACGGTGTGCGCTTTTTGTATGCCGTAAAAAATCAATAACTTGATGTCTTTACGGCGTGCATTTGTGCATGCCGTAAAATGTGATTATTTACGACGTTCTTTAGGGGCATGTCGTGTTTGGTTAAAAAAATTGGACTTTTTACAACGTGCATAAATACGCCATGTTTGTTAAAAAATTACACTTTTTATGGTGTGCATATGTCTGCCGTAAATGCCTTTTTTCCCACTTTTCTTTCCCTTCTTTTCGTCTTGTCCCAATTATTTTCCATGTCATTTAGTTTTAATACACTACAACAAAAGTGGGTTTTGACGGCATACATTTACGAAGTGCATTTGTAGCATGCCGTGAAAGAAGACTATTTACGGCGTGCGCTTTTTGTATGCCGTAAAAAATCAATAACTTGATGTCTTTACGGCGTGCATTTGTGCATGCCGTAAAATGTGATTATTTACGACGTTCTTTAGGGGCATGTCGTGTTTGGTTAAAAAAATTGGACTTTTTACAACATGCATAAATACGCCATGTTTGTTAAAAAATTACACTTTTTATGGTGTGCATATGTCTGCCGTAAATGCCTTTTTTCCCACTTTTCTTTCCCTTCTTTTCGTCTTGTCCCAATTATTTTCCATGTCATTTAGTTTGACGAAATAGGGCCGGTCGTTCCTATTGTGTTCGTGCCATTTTCTTCCAAAATTCCACCTTCAATCGATCATCAACCGCCTCCAAGTCTCCGTTGTTTATCTGTCGTCTCCGACGTTGAACTTCTCAATCGCGACAGCCCTAGATGTAGGTCACGATTCACGCAGCAGCAACACCTTCTGGCTTCGAAATAGAGCCTTGAAGCAATCAGCAGCAGACTGTGGGCTTGAGATTGCGGGACCCTGAGGGCTGAGTCTTCTTGACCTTCGATTCGCGATGCCAGCACCAGCACGGCTGCACAGCAGAAATGCAAAAGAAGAAGGATAGCCCCCTGATTTTGATGGGTATTTTTTTCTTGGACACAATTAATTGCGCTCAAGGTTGTGAAATCTCTTAAATTACAATTTTTCTTTAGTTTTTTCTTGTCATTCACTCTATCTAATCTCTGGTGATTCCTAGTTTTTTCTGTAATTTACAATTTTTCTTTAGTTTCTATATTGAAAATTATAATGCTTTTTGTTTCGATCTCTCATCAATTTCAATCGTCTTGTCAGGATCCCCTTTTTATTTATTTTTTATTTTTCTTAATCTTTTAATATTGCAATTATTTTAACGGGTTTTATTAGATTTTGAAAAAATTACTTTGATTCATTAGAAAATTGTAAGCAAATAGTGCAAGAAAGCCGTGATTAGTATATTGGGTTGGTGAGGAGGTTGAGGAAAATTAGCGTAATTAGAATTTCATATGTTTGATATTTATCCTAAATAATATGAATCAATGAATAACCATTGTTTAGATTGGTAGGGATATGTAATCTTTGGTTATCACAGGCACCAAGAAGTGGAGTCTTTTTATGATGAAAGTCAAAAGTTCAAGTGTGAATTTCTCGACAAAATTGTTGTCTAATATAGGGTGCTAAAGGGGAACGTTCATGAGTTATATAGCAAAATGAGCATAATGGATATGAATTATAATTTATTGTTTGCAGAATAGTTATTCTCTTCACAGTTCATAGCTTGGATTTATTCTAATGAATAATGAGAATGGATTTTGAGTAAGATTTGATTAGTGATCTTCCTCAAAGCATTATAGAAATCATCCTCATAAAGCTTCCAATAAGGGATGTCGTGAGAACTAGCATTTTATCAAGCAAATGGAGGTACAAATGGGCCACACTAACGCAGCTTGCATTTGATGACAACTGCTTGACCCTTTGTAATGATAGAGCAATTGTTGAGAACAATCTTTCTAATTTTATTACCTGGTGTTTATTTCTTCATGATGGACCAATCCACAAGTTCTCTCTATCTACCTCGTACTTGCAATGCTCATATGATATAGATCAGCGGCTACTTTTCCTCTTGCAGAAAGATATTAAAGATTTGGTTCTTGAATTAGGAGAAGGTAAGTGGTTTAGGGCGCCATCTTCTCTTTTCTTTTGTAAAAAATTGACTCATTTGGAGCTTGTTCGTTGTGAATTGGACCCTCTACCTTCTTTTAAAGGTTTCTTTTGCTTGAAGTAGCTCAATCTTCAACAAGTTTTGATTCCCCCACATGATATTGAATGCCCCATTGCAAGCTGTCCTCTTCTTGAGAGTCTAACATTATCGTACTTCGATAGTTTAGAATTGATTGTCAGTGCTTCAAATCTCAAGTACTTGATTTTGGAAGGTGAATTTAAGGATATATGTCTTGTGAACACTCCACTTTTGGTATTAATATCTGTTGCTATGTATATGACTGATGACATAGCAGAGCATTTCGAACAAAGCTCAAGCTACAATTTCGACAAATTTCTCGGTGGTGTTCCCCAGCTTGAGAAGCTTATTGGACATATATACTTCACAAAGGTATCCATCTCCACTTACTTTTAAGATTAGTAACTAGATATGGTTATCTTTTGCCTTTGTGTAGAAACTACTTGGGATTTTCTTGATTATACATAGCTATTTTAAAAGTTGAAAATAATTTTTTGTCTTGAACTCATTAACCTCTCGTGTTTCATTATTTGAGTATCGGTAGTCATGATGGATGCATTCCAATTACATATCACCAATTGAAGTTCATAGAATTGTATCAAGTTAGCCTTGATGACATGAAAGAGGTTCCAGTTGTCCTTCAGCTGATCGTGAACTCGCCAAATTTACAAGAGCTACAAATCTCGGTAAGTTAATGTTCGAATTTCAAAGTTTGCCATGCTACTTGATGGTATGCATTTGCTTGTCATCTCGGTATTTTTGAATGCCCTTGCACTTTTTTGTGTGAACAATATATCCATAAACTTTTTGAATAGGTTAATGATGTTAGAATTATTTAGACGAACTCTACATTTTGGCATATTGTATTGAACCATATTCATTATTTTTGTTTATCAAACATATATAAAATCTATTTATATATGATTAATGTGTATCTTTTTGTTTTGTAATTATTATGGGTTTGTTGGTTACCAAATAGACAAATATTTTTTAAAAACTAAATTGACATTTATGGCATGCATGTGCACGCCGTAAAAGGTGAGTATACACTTTTTACTGCATGAATAGAGTGAGCTTTTACGGCGATCTTTTATGGTGTTCTTTGCACGCCGTAAAAAAATCTTCCTATTTACTACATTGCTTTATACGGCGTGCGACTGCACGCCGTAATTGCACGCCGTAAAAAGTCCATTTTGTTGTAGTGATAATTGCATTGTTAGATTAACAACCTCATTACATATCTTAAAATTCAGATATTTTGAAAATTTCTCATCAAAACTACAGTGAGTCAATAAAAAAATGTATTATTACGAGCAAGAAAACATCCCTTTGCTCATCAATTTCTCCAAATCTGAATATATAGACGTTTTAGGGGTGTAAATTACGAACAGGATTTGTGTTTCTCTCTCTCTTTCTCTATCTTCACTGTGTATCTATGTCTTTGTATCTCTCTCTCCATGTCCAACAAGTTAAATGTGGGAGAATGGTTAAATTTCAAAGTATAAAAGTTGACCATAATTACTCTAAATATTGAAATTACTAGGAACTTAAATGTAGAAAATTATTTTGTGAAAGCTATTTTGAAATTTCGAGGGATGAATTAGTTAAACACACGCACATGCATAATACGATAATTTGGTTGCTACATTTTCTTTTTTCACAAAATAATAATTTTACAAAATTGATGACGGCTGGCAAGAAAACTCCAATGGGGAGCCATGCATGCACTGTGCAAATGAATCTGTAAAATATTAACTCTAATTTTACAAACAAAAATAAAATAAAAAATGCTAATTAAGCAGAAGTACGCACAACCACGAACTCAAGTCCTTAATTCACAACCACATTTGAAGAAAATTATAAGAGAATGACTGTTTTCTTCCTCGAATTTTCCTATAGAATTTAATAACAGAAAATGAATTTATTACAAGAAACTTAATAAATACGGGAAATGAAAGGAAAAAATAAAGAGCATAAACCCCAGCATGAGATGGAAAATACAGAATTCTGCTTTTGAACTTAAAGGTCATCAAGAGAACAACTCGAGTCCTTATATATTATTAGAGCTATCCACATGAGATAAAGCTGGAACAAAACTACCTGCACATGGTTAGGTTGTTGTATCAGATAAACATCAGAGGTTGTTGTATTAGATAATTATCAAGGCTGTTAGTTAGTTACTAAATGGTTAGTCTGTTCACTCTCAGGTATTATTTATACGGCTGATGTACATATCAATTGGAGTTAAGAATGAATAAAATTCAGTTCATTCCATTTCTTCATTCTTGCTTTAATATGGTATCATAGCAAGAATAATTCTGCATAATCATTCTTCATCCATCTATTCAGCCCATTGTTGAATCTGGCATTCTGAAAATCATATGGAATCACAGCAATCAGAAGGCTCAACAACAACAGTGAATAAAATGCCTATTGATGATCCTTCAAGTCCATACTTCCTTCATCACTCCGATAGCTCAGGTCTGATGTTGGTGTCGCAACAGCTCACCGGAGATAACTATGCCTCCTGGAGCCGTGCTGTGAGAATTGCTTTGTCTGTCAAAAATAAACTTGGATTCATCGATGGATCCATAACTGAACCGGACGATGAAAACTCTGAACTACTCAACTCGTGGACTAGAAATAATAACATTGTTATTTCTTGGATTTTGAACTCAGTCTCAAAAGAAATCTCTGCAAGTGTAATATATGCTGTGACGGCGTACGAGATATGGACTGATTTAAAGGATAGATTCCAGCAGAAGAATGGACCACGTATATTTCAGTTGAGAAGAGACTTGATGAATCTGATTCAAGATCAAGATAGTGTAATTGTGTATTTCACTAAACTCAAAACCTTATTGGAGGAACTAAGCAATTATCGACCTACCTGCAATTGTGGAAAATGCACATGTGGTGGTGTGAAGGAAATGAATAATCACCATCAGAGTGAGTACACTGTGTCGTTTCTAATGGGATTGCATGATTCCTTCTCGCAAATTAGAGGACAGATATTGCTCAACGATTCCTTACCTCAAATCAACAAAGTATTTGCATTAATTTCTCAAGAAGAAAACCAGAGAAAAATTGGAAATCAGGTGACATCTGGAATTGATTCAAATGGAGCTGCTGCATTTGCGTTGAAGGCAAATTATGGGAAGGGAATCATTCACCCCGGAACATATAACAATACTTCAAGGTTTGGCAATAATGGAGGAGGTAAAAAGAAAGAAAGGCTTTATTGTTCTCATTGCAATTTCCATGGACATTCTGTTGATAAATGTTACAAAATACACGGCTATCCACTGGGCTATAAATCCAAATCAAGAGATAACTATCAAAGTTATTCCAATACCAGTCAAGTTAATCAGATTTCTACAAATGTACTAGTTTCTAAAATTGAAAATGCACAATATGAGCAACAAACTGGAGTTGGAAGCTTTGTGCAAAATCTGAATCCCAGTCAGTACCAACAATTGATGACCATGTTGTCTTCTCACTTGGCTTCGAGTTTTATTGCAGAAACATCTGAGCATCATGACAACAATGCTACATCATATGCTGCAGGTAAATGTTATTCAATATCAGAAAATCCTATGTTCTCATCCAAGAATATTTGGGTAGTCGATTCTGGTGCAACCAGACATGTTTGTTCTGTTACTTCTGCTTTTATGTCAATAAGGATACTGGATAATTCTACAGTCACTCTGCCAAATAACACATGGATACCTGTTAAACTATGTGGTGAAGTCAGATTAAATCCTGATCTTATACTTCATGATGTCCTATTTGTCCCTCAATTCAAGTTTAACCTGTTATCTGTTAGTGCTTTAACACGTGGCTCTCATCTCACAGTTGGTTTCTTTCATGATCTGTTGGGAAAACACCTCCCAATGAATGCCCAAGAAACAAACTAAGTTGGCAAAGTGAAAATTTCCAAAATACTTGAAGAACAAGAAAATGAGGAAGAAATGAATCCAATGGAATATATGATAATCAATGTGTTAGGATTACTTGAACAAGCCTCAAGTTAATCCCCAAGAAAGAAAATACCTTTGAATTTATACCCAAGATGAACAACCTTCTATCTTGTAAAAATTCTCTCCAAAGTTTTCTCTCTTTTCTCTCTAGGTCTTGTGTTGTGTATGTTACAATGAAAGAGGGAAAAAGAATGGATATATATACTCTATCGGGGCGCCTAGGGGCCACAAGAGTGGCGCCTAGGCGCCGGGTTTCTGCCCGTCTTTTGCACTCGGGGCGCCTAGGCGCCATGTTTCTGCCGGGGAGGCAGAAACTGGGCGCCTGGGCGCCCGGCAGAACAACCCCCTTCACCACCCTTTCTTCCCAGCTTTTCTTCTTTTCTTCTTCTCTTCTTCTCACAATTCTCCACCTCGTACATCATTTGATAAACCTCAAATTTTGGACGAACACAAGAAGAAGTAGTAAGCACCAACTCGGTTGCATCATTCAAGCCATGATTGCCTACGTACCCATAACTCGGGATCAAGCCTCCGTAGTTCACCTTCATATACTCCACCTCATTTCAACCTCGCCCCGAAGGGCCATGCCCTCTCGGGCATATCAACACGGACTAATGTGAAGCAAGTCCAAGCAATGTTGAAACTTGCTACCCGTCACAACTTTGGTTAACATGTCAGATGAGTTCTCATTTGTGTGCACCTTCGAGAGTGAAATGTCACCTTCCTCTATAACATCACGCACAAAATGATACCTGACGTCAATATGCTTGGTTCGAGCATGATGAACCTGATTCTTAGCCAAGTGAATCGCACTCTGGCTATCACACCACAAGTCCACACAATCCTGCTCAATCCCCAAATCATCTAGAAGACCCCATAGCCACAATGCTTCCTTCACTCCCTCTGCCATGGCCATATACTCGGCCTCTGTGGTAGAAAGAGCAATTGTAGCCTGTAACATCGATCGCCAACTAACTGGGGCACCATGTATGCAAAACACATATCCAGTAGTAGATCGTCGTCTATCTAGATCACCTGCATAATCCGAGTCCACAAACCCACTTATATGACATGCATCTCCACCAAAATATAAACCCGTATCCGCGGTACCTTTTAAGTACCTCAGGATCCACTTCACAGCTTCCCAGTGTGCCTTCCCTGGATTCGCCATGAATCTACTGACCACACTAACTGCCTGTGAAATGTCTGGGCGTGTACACACCATGGCATACATCAAACTGCCAACTGCACTAGCATAAGGCACACGATCCATGGGTACCTTTTCTTCCGCTGTAGTAGGAGACTATTTACCAGAGAGCCTGAAATGTGGAGCCAATGGAGTTACCACTGACTTTGCACCTTGCAACCCGAACCTAGCAATAACCCGCTCAATGTAGCCTTTCTGGCTCAAGAACA